GGTCTTAACCATCCAGCAGAAAAGTATAAAAACGAAATATAAGAAGTAAAGCCATGCTGTTATGTTGAGCTGTAGGGGACTCAGGTCAACAATTTATGACACTGCCAGTCAAGCGGAAGACCCAATACTATTATGGGCTACTGGACTCTTTTAGAATATTTTGCTGAGTTTACACACCTATAATACTGAAATAACAGAACTTAAAAAAAAAAGGATATACAGATGAATGTCCATTTTGTATCTGTGTATTCAAAGTGGTTAGGATAGATATATAGTTACATTCTTTAATGAATAGAGTGATTTGTTCTAGTGGTGTTTGTAAATAGGGTATCATGTCCTCATCTTGTAGAGCAGTTAACCACTAGGAAGAATGTATGCAATGTGTTAATTATTGAAACTGTCCTACCAATTTGAGTTGAAACTGTCTCATTGCTATTTGCTTATCAATAAAATTATGGGGAAAAAATCTAATGATTTGAGTAAATAGGGGAACTGTATGTATGTATGTATTTATTTATTTATCTTATTTATTTATTTTTTTGCGGAACCAGGGATTGAACTCAGGCCTCTGCCCTTGCCAGGGAAGCGCTTATTCCACTGAGCCATCACCCCGGCCCCAGGGGAACTTTATTAATTACTTCTTTGTAAGCTTTATGTAAATTGACATTTTGGCGTTTTTCCTTTGTTTTCTTTGCTGAGTGTGTTCACAGAAGAGGCACTAGACAGTCTAACACAGTGCCTTGCTACCTTATCTCACAATAAAAAAGGGCTGAGACTGTAGCTCAATGTAAAAGTACTGGGTTCAACAATACTTGGTACCCCTCCACACACACAAGGAATTACTAGTTCATTTTGTTACATAAAAGCAAGTTATTGAGCAATGTAAGCTCCTAAATAGTCACTACAATAGCCCTGGCAAGATTATATATGAGGAAATTTTGGACACTCCATATGGATTCATTACTGTGTATCTCACTGCTACTTGCTCTTAGGTTATTCTTAGATTAAAAGGTTCAATACCAAAGTCTTACATCTGGGGCTATCAGAGGATATGCTACATATAAATGTAACTTCAATCACTGAGAGATGTCCAAAAATACTTTATCCAGGCCATTTTCCTGGTGACGCTGAGATAAAAATAAATATCCTAAGTCTCTGGAGGTAAGTGAAAGATTATTTTATAAAGTTTAAGTATTCAAAATTTCACAACCATGGGTTGACTGTTCCTAATAAGTTCAAAGATTCAACATTGCCTCATTTTTCCTTATAACTAGCAACAAATGGAAAAGAATTCTGCTGCCAGGTCAGATGTTTTAAAGATGTAAGGCAATGGTTTTCAAACTTTTTTTTTCTTTAGTCTAGTTGTTATTTTTTTGGGGGGTGGGGGGCTGTACCAGGTCCTTATACACGCTAGGCGAGTGCTCTACTATTCAGCTGTATTTGCATCCTCAAGTTCATTTTTAAGTAGCTAACTTTCTATGAATGAAATCATGGGGCTGTTCCATATAAAGTCTTGATACCACAGAATACCCCATATTCTGCCACTGTTTACAAAACAGTCATAGTCTAGTTAGACATACTGGTGTGATTCACTTTACCCGCCTGTGTAGCAGAAGAGGTCAAAAGGAACAGGGAGGAGAAGAAGCATCCCTGATATACAATGTAACCAAGTACAGCTTTTATAGTGCACTTTAATGCTTCTAAGTAAAGAAGAATTAGGAAGTCAACAATTCAGTGAAGGAAGGGAAACAAATGTAGTAACAATTGCTTAAATACTTTAAGAACTACTCATATTTTGGGCTTTTTATATATTTTATTTTACTTTTTTGCGGGACTGGGGATTGAACTCAGGACCTTGCACTAGCCAGACAAGCACCTACTCTATTAAGCTATCTCCCCAGCCCCTGATTTTTTTTATCTAGCTAATAAATCAAATAGAAATGTGTTGGGCTGGGGATCCAGCGCCCAAGGTTCAATACCCAGTACCATAAAAAAAAGTTTTGAAGATTCAGTACAAATTATTACTAATTTTAATCAAGGATTTCTCTAATTTTTGTAAGGTACTATCATATTGTTTCCCGAGATTTATGGAAATGACTTATTTAAAAAGAAAAAATAAATTGAAGAGATTGCGTTACCAAAATTTTAAAAAAAAAAATACCTACTGCTGAGAATGGGTTCTACTGCTTGATCACTTCAGTTGAGTTAAAATATGTGTAACTGACTCTAGAGAATGGAAAAAAACAAACACATAGGAGCAAATGGTAAGAGAAGTAGAATTATTCCAGAGAAAAATGCCCATTTAAAACTACTGTATGGGGCTGGGGAGATGGCTCAGTAGAATAAGCGCTTGCCTGGTAAGCACAAGGGCCTGAGTTCAATCCCTGGATCTGAAAAAAAAAAAAAAAAAAAAAACCCTACTGTATCTTCTTTTCTTTATAAAGCACACTCAGGTAGCAGCCAGTACTTATAAGATCTTAACTACATGAATAAACCAGGAGGGACCACAGCACAGCAGGCAGAACAGAAAAGAGAAGGCAGACACTACAAGAATGAGAATCACCGGTGCATGGCAACTAATGTAACTGGGGGCTCCAGTACAAACTGCCAAACACAGAACCAGAGATCATTAAACATGAACAAACCAAAACTAGCTGTAACCTGATCCACATAGAGGGCCTCTGAATTTGCAGCCTTGAGAGGGAACAGTAAT